ATTATGAACGAATTAAAAGGATTTTATATATGTATTATATATACAATAAAAATATTATTAAATGTAAATAAAGAAATGCTCTTATTTTTAGCATATTAATAGTGAAGCTTTAGCCAGATAAAGCTAATAAAGATCCACATAATGAGCAAATCCTTAAAGTATTAACAAAAGGAAACAGTTATATTTTTATTTAGAAATAATTCATTTCAATTTTGGAAACAAAACAAAAATAAGCCCAAACAAATTATTATATAAGGGTCACGCTACTATTATGTTCATCTAATTAAATAATTAAATGTAAGATATATATTAAAGTGTTTGTTTTCCATCTGCACACATTTTTTCATAGATCCTACCTAATATCTATCACCTTTGAATGATATTAAAAATAAAAGTAATTCACACGATATTGTAACCCGTGAAATGAATCGAAATCTCTTTTTTTTAAACCACATAATTTTTGTTTTTATTTTGCAAATATCACTTTAAAATTAATAAATATATTATTAATAAAAATCAGGCGTTTTATTTGTATTTGTATATATATATCCTATATCAATTATTTTACGAAATAATGAGGTAATCCGTTTAAAGATATATAAAAAAAGTGCAAGTCATGACTTTCAACTCTTCAAAAGTAGTTTTGGAGACCAAAATTAGTTTCGAAACTCCCAAAACTGTACTGCCTTTAAATCTTCAAAAAGCTACATATATAACCTCACATCTTATTTTTTTTAATATAAAAAATTTTTTTTCGTTTGTTACCATGCATGTTGTGTGTTACTAAAACAGATTCGTATATATCACAATCGCATTTTTGATATAAATGCGGGGTATGCATGTATGTAATACATTTGAATGTAATCTGGCATTCTCTGCCATGAAAGATTATGAATGGATAATTATCTGTGCTATGACTCTCTGATAAACGATAACAGTATTTATTAAATAATAATGATATATAGAATAAAAAATGATTTTTAATTGTATTTATTTAATATTTTTATAATTATAATAAATTTTTCCTAGCTCTCTCACAATCTGGTCCAATTAAAATTCAGCCAATAAAATAAGTTTATAAATGTAAAACAATAATTATCTCGTTGAATTGTTAAAATTAATATTAAAAACAAATGTCAAAACATCAAAAAAAAATTTTTTTAAAAATAAAAATAAAGTCATAAGATTTTATTGGCGTAATATTCGTGATTATATCATTAGTTGTAACTTTAAATTTTTTTCTGGCTTTAAATTGTAATGGAGAATGAACGATTTCTAATGGAGAAAATAAAAAGAAAATAAGATTTAATTTAATTAATCAAAGTGCGAATGCGAGGATTACATAATAATAATGTATTAATGCTTTTCGTGCCTTCATTTTTTTAATATTTATAGTTCGCAAGGTTTTACTTTTTCCAAAAAAAAAAATTTTAATGCGGGGATACTTAAAAATTTTTATTTATTTATTTATTTATTTATTATTAAATAGACAAACAAACAAGTAAATATTTTTCTTAAATATTTATTTAGTAACATAATATAAAAAAATTGGTATTTAAATGAATTTTTTTGAAAAAAAAAGAAAAACCAGAAACCAAAAATTAAATACTATTTTTCTAATAATCGAACGATATTACAAACAAGGGCAATGAAACGGTGATTAATTACATTCTTTACGATCTGACGCAATAGTAGATGTATATATATATATATATATATATATATATCAAGTTTATATTTTATCGATATAATAACGTCAACATCAATGATCTGATAAACAGTTTACATCTCATCGATCAATCTCGCGTCAAAATTCCAAAAATCATACACCCTCAAAAATTTCCACTTCTTTGAACATTAATTAATATTTTACTTATATATCTATAGAATTATTAAAAATTAAAAAAAAAAAACAAAAAAAAAAAAATTTTTCTTCTTTATTTTTCATTCAATGGGGTTTATTTTATTTTTTTAAGCAGAATTTTGGACAATTCATTTATATATTCTGGTTAATATATATATTATATATCTTATAAAATAAAGTTGACACATAATCACGTAATGTAATGAACAATATTAATAAATTAGTGAGGACATTTTCATATTTCATATTTTACAAATTTTTTTTTTTTGGCAAAGACAAAATTTCTCGAATGTTGCTGCAAAAACAAAAATTTAATTTCGGGTTGTTGTTATATATTTTTTTAAATTTCCTATTTTTAATTCCTATTTTTTATTAATCGTAAAGTAATTTCTTTAATCTTTTTTTTTTTTCTCCTATTTATCTTTTCGATCGTTATTTCCCAATTGCCATCATTTTTATATTATATTATATTATATTTTATTTTTAACGATTTATTTATTTATTAAGATCAAAAATTAAGCTTATTTATTTATGGATTTTAATTTTGTTATTTTTTTTATGTCAAAATTGCCGACTACTAACTATGATTTTTAAGTTTACTTATGCAAAAAAATAAAAAGTTATTTTTTTTTTAGAAATATTTTTTTAGATCTTTTTTTGGTTGGTTTTTGGTAGAGTGATTGTTTGATATTTTTTTAAATTTTATAATAACAATAATAACAATATTTAATTTTTTTATCTTTTTTTTTTTTTCTATTCTTTATTAATTAATAATCTTTTTATTATATTTTTTATTATATTATTAATATACTTTACTTTTGGACATTTTTTTAATTAGTTTTTTTACCATAAAAATAAAACCAAATTATAGAAGCTGGTGTTTTCATCCAGCATTTTTTTTTACTTTTTTAAAAAACCGTTTCCCCAAGAGACGTCGCAAATCATGTGATTTATACGAATTTTATAAAATTCAGCATGCTAATCAAATTTACATACTAATTTCAATATGGATAAAGATAGTGCAGCAGAATTTTATATCAATCCTTTGAAAGTGTTTTTGTTCACCTTTTTAAAAAACCAGCTTTGTCATTACTTTGTCGTGACAGAGTGACCAAGATTTACGATGATTATTTCTAAATTTGACAAATTTATCGCGTCAAAAATTATTTTAAACAATAATAATAATAATAAGCCCCACAAAAAGGAAAATTTTACAAACAAATAAGCGGGACAAACTAAATTTAGAATTATTGCTATATTTATATTCCTCGTGGCGCAGATAAGTGGACCCGCACCAAAGTATATATATTAATATACAAATGCCCTTAACGCTCAATGATAACTCTTATTTTCAAATTCGATTTAAAAAGCTAGTTTTATAAAAATTTTCAGCGGGCGCAAATTAATCAAGTTATCTCCATTTTTATCATCTGTCAATGAATCGTGTATTCTGCTTAATAAATTCTTTAATCGTAGCCTAAATAGTTTGTTTTGTGTATTTAGACATAATTCCATTATGGCATATCTGTGTAATTCTCACAATGGCATTTATTTTAGCCGATCATATATAACTCAAAAGTTTGCTATTATATTAATGTTTTATTACTATTGACCCTGAAACCTTAATTATTAACCATTATGTTTTTAATTATTATCGATATTATCATCACCATCATTGCTCTTTATCGAACTAAAAAAATAATTTTCTTATAAATATTTGTTCATTTCAACCAAGCTGAATTTTCCCAATAATAAATTATTGATAATAAAAAAAGAAATTCCAAAAAAAAAAAAAAATCAATTCAAATAAACAAATAGAAACTTTTAGAAATGGAAGGAATAAGCCACAATTATTGCTCAAATTCTTATCATCTTCAACAAATAATGCAATTGAAAAACCTGAAAATTAATGCATTATTTTGTAGATTGTAAAAAAAAAATTCAATAAGAAAAATTAAACTTATATTTAAAAATTATAATGAAATAACCAATTATATATTTTGAAAAAAAAAAATCCAATTATTAATAATTCACCATTTAACAAAATTGATATTATGATTCAAAAACAAAATATCAAAGTGACTAGATTAGTAGTAATGGACATGGATCTTGATGAATATTCTGGTAATAGTAAAACATTAATATAAATATAAGGAAGGCTTGTGTGTGAGATAAATGTATCTTGATAATGATGATATGTATGATTGTATTGATTATTGCTATAATAATAATAATACATATATGTGCATATTACACTACAATAAAATCAGGATATTTTTTATTCATTAATAAAATTTTCAATGTTTCAGTTTCCACTAGCTTTCTATTACACTATCAATTTTCTTTTAGACGATTATACCAATAAGAATTATGGCTATTTATTTGATTGTCTATTTGTTTATTTACGAAATTACTTGATTTTTAATCAGTACCGTACGTGACCCGTGACTCTTTGGATTCCCGAAATAGTTTTTTCAATAAATTTCTTTTTATATATTAGTTTAACATGTATTTAGATTTCGGCAAGCTTAAGATTCGGGTATAAGTTTAGGCTTCGGTAATTTATTTTCCCTAAACTAGTTTCGAGTAGTTTCGGTATCGGGGCTTTCTCCAAACTTTGTCACAGAATTTCATGATTGCGTGGTCTTGGTATTATTATTATTTGTGCGATCAAATTTAGTTAATTTTTATTTATCAATCATTAATAAAAAGAAATATATCCATACATCACCCACATGAGAATATATACTGTGCCATATATACAAATTTGTTAATATTAATTTAGCGCCCGTCGACTCAGCCAATTGAATTTTATACGATGATGCAATATTGCTTATTTTTTTTTATTCATTGATCAATGCAAATTTAAAAATAAAAAAAATTTGCATGCAAACAACATTGTTTATTAAAAAAAATCTCCCAGTAAAACTGCTGTAAATTAAAATCATTTGCATCTGTAAATAATAAAGTATAAAACATAATTACAAAGGAAAAGGCTGATTGAAAACAAATAACGGAAAGATCTTTACATATGATGTCTATGAATCTGAAACTCACATATGTGACATCAAATTAGCCAAAAGGAATTCTCATCCAAACGCCTCCCTCCCTAATAAATTTCAATTCGCTAAGGAATATGTCGGCTGATAGAAGAAAAGAAAAAAAATTCAAAAGAGATTTGACAAATGTAACTCATATACACAAACAGGTATGCCAGATGGCAATTAATTAATGAGAACTTTGCATTCTTTCATTTTTATTTATAATAATACCAGAATAATTCAAGAGGTTAAAGAAATCGTAATAATTGATGTATTCAACGAGTGAATATCCGCCATGTCCATCAGGAAATTTTATTGAAGCAATTTTGTGTAGAGCTTACATTCCACGTAAGAACAATGTGAGATTAACAAACCCGACACAATCCTTACACAATTTCATATAGAAGAAACTTACAAGCATTCGGTACTTAGACTTGCTGGTTCCAAAACTATTGTGACTGATGATCTGAAAGATGAATATTTTAAGAAAAGTCTCTGAAAATCAAGTGTTCTTTTGATAAATTCATTGAAGGAAAAAAAAAAAGAAATGGAAAATCCCTAATTGTAGCAGACAAATATCTAAATCGAAAATACACATGTAAATTACTAAGAAACTATCAATGCAATGATCTCTCTTTTGAAAGGTGCAGTCAATAAAATTAATGGAACTCATCAGCAACCTGGTTCTAATTTACTAGCCATGATGGGTCAAGGACCTTTGGTAAGACATCTTCCTTGGCAATTTGTTTTCAATCTTCACATATATTACTCCCAATTATACGATCGTATATGTGCGTAATCATATTTCTGATTTCAAAGGTCGAAATTATTTCAATGTCAAAGTTGGATTGCAACACGCGTTTTGACAATGCTAATTTTGACTGCATGTATATTCCCAACGTACATATTGAAGTAGGTTTTCTGACAAAGGTATATATAGTGAAAAGTTCTTTTATTGGATCAGGTTATCTTTTTAGTTGTCTAGTAACACTACTGCCCCATCATTTATTGCTTCAAGTTGTGCCATCAAACAAATATCTGACGTAGTCTAGAAAGCCATCGACAAATGCAACCAAAGTTGGTGTCTGCAATCGGTTGTAAAAACAGGTTGCAACATCCCAATTGCAAATTTTTAGTTGCAGATACTGCAAGCCACTTTCAAAAAACGGACCGTTTGTTGTTCCTCATATATATATGTGTGTGTGTGTGTGTGTGCAATCCTATGTATAAAATTTATCACAATGTAGAATTTTTTATTTTAAATTAATAAAAAGATTTTACCATTATTAATTTGTTTACGTTTCATTTGATTTCAAAGCGTAAAGCAAAAGATACTGTTGGTATTTAACAATTTCAAAGGCTAGAAAATTTGATGACTCAGATTTGTTATTATCATAATAGTATATTTACCATGAAAAAACATTATAAACGTTGCATTTTTTCTCATCTAATGGAATACATATAAAGGGTTTTTTTGGATTTGTTGACTACTTATAGGTGTCTAAAGTGAAGAGTTTTTAGAAGTTGAGGATACTATCGATTGCGATTTAAATTATTCAAAAAACTATAATGTGAAAAAAAAAATCCAAATAAAGGGAAGTTATATAATCAATCTCATTGTTTTCCTAATATAGTTTATTTGGAAATTAAAGTTATCTATTTAAGGATATACTATATAATACATTTTTAACCTACATATTTAACCGGTCCGATGGTGATCAACTAAATGTGCGCATTTTTTATGTAACATAATTTCCGCACACAATTTCCTGTAAATCATATGATGTGGGACACCCCAATATTAATATGACATGATTAGTTACCATTTTGAAACATTTTTGATCAACATAATAATGTAATTGGGTGGAAAAGATGTTGATTTTTATTAATTTTTTAAAACATTACAACTTTGTTGAAAAAAAAGCAGATAATAATTTTGCGTAAAATAATAATTAATTACAGCAAGCAACATTAAAAAATTGTAAATAAAAATAAAAAGATTCAATTAATAGAAGATTGATTTGCTTTTCACATACAATAATCTTATAATTCAGGTTTTAATGTATTTTGGATTTATTGATCTTTTATTCTAAGATGGCGTCTTGTATGACCTTTTAGTTCATTTTTTTGATAATACGCTTTAGTGCATCCAGGATATTCACATTTGAAATCCTTTATTCCAAAATGATACTTTGTATGAAATTGTAGTTCACCTTTGCTACAAAATGCTTTGGTACATCCTGGATATTCACATTTGAAATTTTTTATTCCAAGATGACGTCTTGTATGTTGCTTTAGTTCATAATTCTGAAAAAAAGTTTTTGTACATCCTGGATATTCACACTTGAAATTTTTTATCTCAAAATGACGTTTTGCATGTTGTCGTAAATCAATTTTTTCATGAAATGTTTTTGTACATCCTGGATATTCACACTTGAAATCTTTTATTCCAAGATGATATTTTGTATGTCGTATTAAAGAAATTTTTTGACGAAATGCTTTTGTACATCCTAGGTATTCACACTTGAAATTTTTTATTCCAAGATGATGTATTGTATGTTGTATCAATTCAGATTTTTGACAAAATGCCTTTGTACATCCTGGATAATCACATTTAAAATCTTTTATTCCAAAGTGACGTCTTGTATGACATTGTAAAGCAATCTTTCCATAAAATTTTTTTGTACATCCTGGATATTCACACTTTATACTTTTTCTAACACCTTCTTCATCCTCATTTTTGCTTTCACTTTTATTTTTATTTTCGTTTTGATTGTCTTCATTGTTGTAATTGTCATCACCATTTTGATCATTATTGTAATTGTTGTTAACGTTATAATTATATTCTTCTATAATCTTTTTGATTTTATCGTCATTATTATTAATATACACCCAACAATCTATATATCAAATTATCATTATTATAATAATAAATATAAAGAACAAATAATATCTGATTACTTTGTAAAGTTACCTTTTTGAAACATTTTTTATTTATATTATTTTTCACAGATATTTTTTTTAGAAGAAATTTGATTTGCCAAATTTTATGCAGATCCTTTTGTTGAATAAAGAGACATTAACATGCTATGCCAAAATCAAAAAAAAAGAGCATAAGAGCAACTTAGTAAAGGTTCCTCAATTTATTAACAAATATATATTTTTAAATAGTAATGCACTCCTTATTTTTTTATTCATTTTAAGTTCTTTACAATGTATTTAATCATTACTTATTACACTATGGACATTATGCCCATCAAATTATATCTACAAAATAAGACAGAAAAAGATGAATTAAAAGAACGTGTCTCTGTAGAACCTGAAAACTTGCCCAAAAAAATGCAAATGGGACATTCCTTAGATAATAACAACCACCTGCTTTAGTTATAAAAATATCTAAAGCATTTTCAAACACTGATATAAACATTGGTAAATAATCAATGAAGAAAATATCATCACCGAAACAGCTTGCCGACATGGTGATAATTTCGTCTTGGATGTTTTATAGTTTCAACATGACCATCTAAATTACCAACAAAAATGGATTCATATTGCAGACAGATAACAAGACTTTCCATGAATAAGTTTTCCAGCCCAAATATTTTCAAACGTATTCTTGTTGTCCATACGCATAAATTTTTTTGTATTGAAAGATTCATCAGGAAAATAAATCTTACATAAACCTACGTAGGGTTCATAATTGGCCAGCATTATGTCGATATTTTGGTAATCCTGATAACATTTCCGCATAATGCTGGTCAGTTTTAAACCCTGCGTAGGTTTACATGAGATTTATTTTCCTGATGTTTTAATAAAACGGATTTTATTATTATTCATCACACTCGTTTACTATGACAGTAATTTTAAAGGAGGATAAAACGTACTTAATAACCATTTTGACACTTGATAATAAATGTCTTGAATAAGTATTTGTGTTGTATCATTTTAATAAATTTTAGAATAATTCCATTGAAAATTTTAAATGATAAAGTCAATATAAAAATAATGTACGAAATCATAAAATTATTGGTGTTCATAGACTCGGACTATTCAAAATACACTGACATTATTGCAACAAATTAAAAAGAATGGGTGATTGAGAGAATTGAAGCGATTATTAAAATAATGAGTGGCTAACGAAATATTGAGTCAATTTTCACTTTATTTATTAAATTTTAAATTTTTCAAGCTTTGTTATTATTTGTCTTAAAATAACCTTTCATATTTTCCCCCGTAATGTGTGGTTGGCATAACAATATTATCTCTTTCATTATGAATTTTAGCTGCAAGATCTTTTTCAGTCTGGCGTTAATAATTTTACAAATGACGTTTTAACTTTTTGGTATTAATGCATCAAAATAGCATTTTTTTTTGAAAAAACTTTTCGATATTTATCATGTGAATTAGTATTGATGTGAGTAGATAACAGATACAACTGAATGAAAAGAAGGATAAATGATTGATTAAATAAAATCTCGGTTGAATTGATTATTAAACTTAAGTTAAATTTTTTGGAAAGATAAATAAACTTCTGACGCTTGCATTTCACCTCATTTTCAATATGTTTATCTGAAAAAAATATAAATATATATAAAGTATTGAATTCGGCAAATCATAATCACAATTGTAATGTGGATTCTCGTTATTATGAATGCATTTTTAAACAATTGATGGTTAATGTGACAATCTGGTTAACAAGCACTAAAATAAAAAAACAAACTAATATAGTATAGTACATCATAAATTTATTTTTCAAAAAAATGTGATTTATATATATATGTCTTTGTTATTTTCGATATGAGGGTATGTTGAAGAATTTTTTTTTTTTTTTTGAACCCGTTGATATATTAATTGAAGTTTCGCGCAGTGAATAATAGTATGAAACGAAAGTCATCAAGGGTTATCTGCTTAGAAGAATCGTAGAGCACAACGTGTCCTCGTACTCCAGGAATTTGATCTATCTTCCTTACATACTAATACACTCCCCTACAAAAAATATCCGACCACTTGTGCTGTGTAACGTCAAATGAAAAAAGTACTTGCTAAATAAAGTACGTTTTCTTAAATAAAACCTTTTCCGCTATACTAAGTAAACTCATATTTGATGTCAAAACTCTATATTACGAAAATTTCAAACAGTTTGGTATGGTATTAATGGAAATATTTAACAAACCATCCAAAAAAGCAAATTTCCGATTGAATTTTTACATGTAATAAAAGGTCAAATTTTTTTGTTGTAATGTATATTATTACCTTAATATAACGTGTTTAACGTAACAGATTACATATATTTACAATACGGTGTCAGCATAAATTAGTTTATGAAAAGGGTATCCGACCACCCCGTAATTTTATCATATAAAACACTTAATAAAGTTGACAAAATGCAAATTTCAAGGCTTTACGTTTCGTTGTCTATACTTGATCAAATTTTCTCAAATTTTAACCATATATAATTCAAGGTATTCTAAGTGGACTTACTTAATGACATAATCCATGATTCAACAGAGTTTTGAACCTTTTTACTCAGCTCAAAGTTTTCATAAAAACCACGAAATTTTTTGCCTAATTTAAAATTTTCATCCTAAATTTATTAATAATGCAAACTCGACGAAACTTTAAGTTTATATTCAAATTGACTTTAAAAACATGTTTACTTAATGCACCAGTCCCGGTTTGATTAATAAAATTTTGAACTGCGTGAGGTATAAGTTTCCCAATTATTAAAATGATCGTCAGGTGGTCAGATATTTATTGTAGGTGAGTGTATAATAAACATGCTGCCAAGGCGTGTCCAATATCATCAAGATACATGAAGAGGTTGTAATTAGGTAGGCCGTATAAAACAGGATGTCTATTGGGTAGACAACAGTTAAATAAAACATCAGACCTACGAAACAATGGAATGACAAAAATACAGGAACGCATAAGTGCAGTCCAGTTTGTTCACAATCGTTCATTTCCTTGTACTCAACACTATGAGGTTTAATCTTCACCACTGATGCTCCATGCACTGGGATGAATATCACTTGTATAAGCGGCTCAACTATAATATAGATGTTCCCTTTGGTGGTGTATCAGTCTAGTAGTCTTCAACGTATCCTGTCGCGGACATCTCTTCTCTGTGATCATAAATCTCTCCTAGATAATATTCAGTAAAATAATGACGAGAATCATCGGCAATGTTAATCAATCTTCCACAGTTTGAGATCTTTGGATGTGAATTTATCAAAATCTGGCACATTATTCTTTTTAATTGTTTCCTTGAGCTTTTCAATAGTTTCTTTTTTGTTAATTTGGATCGGAAAAGTAGGCAAATTGACAAGCGGTTTCAAATCTGGCAAAAAAAAAAATATTTAATAAAATATTCCTCGAATTTCTATTGATAAGTGATAAAAATATAATCTAAAATGATTGCAAAGGTTCCACACAGAAATCATGCATGGTTAATTTATTTGCTATTATTATACACTATTAATATATTAACACCATTTTCAAGGTAAAGAAAAAGAAGGTTGTGGGCGATTTTGATGATGATAGTAAAGGATGATTGTATTGCTGATGATAATGAAAATAGGCATTGTTGTTATTGTTATTATTGTTATACTGATAATGATGTTAATAGATAAATGAATTACTATTATGCAAAAATAATTATTCAGTTTAGTGAAAGAAATTATTCTATCTAATTTGTAAAGGTAAATAATGAATTCAAATAAATTTTCAATTCATGAGACAAAATACTATTTATGAAAAGCAATCTTTTTAAATGTGTGTTGTGATTGTGGTCGGTCATTCATCAATAATTTCTCAAAAAGAGTTTACCGAATTACATGAGCCCCTTTCCAAATCAGAATGAGACTTTTTTTGATGGTTTTGGCTCACAAAAATGGGAACCTTTTTTTTGCTTAAATACAAGATAACAATACATCCATCTTCTAGAAGAAAACTTATTTCAATATGAGAATCAGTTTTTAATTATAGAAATTTAAAATGGCAAAATGCCCACTTTAATTGTAAAATATTTGGTGAAATAAAACCACATTCACATTATGGGTTAAATGCAAGAGAATGGCGAGACACAACTAAATTGATTTATTATCTATTGGAGTCTGAAGCATCATAATTTGGTAAATTATCATATATTTTCTTTAGCTTTATTATTATTATATTTAAAAAATATAATAATTTGTTGAAAGATAATAACACAACAGTTGAGCAGACATAATAAGGTTTTGAATAATTGAATTATTACATTAAAATCATCAATTATCTAAAACATATTTTATTGTCACGAATGATAAATATTTGATTTTAATATTGTTTAATTTAGTTTTTTTATGAACTTTTCCTAATTAGACTCTATAATATAATTTATTGAAATCTCAAATGTGGTTGAATATAAAATATTTAGTGAAAAATAAGAAAAATTATATATATATTTTTTTTTCAATTGAAATTTTTTGAAATTTCATTGATCCCTCCCCAAAACTAACTATTTTTTGTGAACTTTTCCTAATTAGTATATACAATAAAATACATCAAAAGTGTGGCTAAATGTAAAATATTTAGTGAAAAGTTATGAAAACCATGTATTTATTGTTTTCTTTTCAATTGAACTTTTTTGAAATTTCTCAAAATTAGCAACACTATTTCTCATTTTTTGCGGACACTCTTTAATTAGCATCTATAACATATTATATCAAAATTTCAAGTATGGTTAAATATAAAACATAGTAAGAAAAGATTGATGATAATGTTTTTCCAATGAAATATTTAGAATAATTGCTAATTATAATAATTATTTTTCAAATTTTGTTTAGCTAGGGATGGATGAACAAGATATTGTTTCAAGGGAATGGACATGTTTTTTATGTCAAATCTGCCTTAGATGCAAAGTAGATCAAACTTTTCTAGATTGTGATTGTGAATTGGAAAAAAAATCTGTTAAAAAAACAAAAACAATGATTTTAATTCAAGAAAATTTGATCTAACCTCAAATACTTTAAAAGAGCAACAAATACTTTTATTGAAAGAAACAAATAGATATTGTGGATATGGTTTTAGTTTCACCAAAAGTTTTTCTTTTTTTCTTTGTAATAATTGTAATTCAAACCTTCCTTCATAGATCAAAATATAAAATACATACAATACTGCTGCTAATATTACTCAACTAAACCAAGAATTCATCTTGATCACCAATCAAATCATTCAATATGTTATTCAATTTATTAGTAACATTGATAATTGTAGGGACCATTTCCTACAAATTGAATGTAATTAAACAAAACATTCAATTTAAAATTAAATAATATTTAATATTAATAACAATAATTACTTTCAAGTTTGTAAAAGAGAATGCTGGGTTCATCATTTTCCTTTGACGTTTGTGTTGATCACCTTCAGCAAACAAAATCCCATCTCCTACCATGATTCTTAAATCTGTAGTAAATTCCAATGGTTTAATAAATTCATAAGCATTATTTGTCAATATTTGTGGATAATATTTAGGATCTGTTAAAAGTACAATTGGTCCATTTAAAAATCCATGATATACTATTATTCCTCCATATTTCTTGTTCCAATCTAAATGAGCTTTTCCCACCTTTAATTTAATATTTAGTAGATAAAAAATTAATTTCATTGGAAAAAAATAAATAAATAAATATTGTATAAAGCAGATACTATTATTTACATCAGATACAACGGTCAAAAAATTTCCAAAAAAAATACTTTCAGAAGGTGGACCAGGTATTTTACATAATGGTGACAAGTAAAAAGGTTTAATTAAAGATTTATAAATGAAAAAACTTATTGCACCTAAAATTATAGTAAGTAAATAAGTTATCAAATTATCAATCATTTTTCACATTAAATTTCGTTGACTTTGTTTTTTTTTTAACAATTATTATTATTATTAATTATCAATAAAGAAAAAAAAATATTAATTTTGGAATAGAGCATTTTTTATTAATTATTATTATTATTATTATGTTGTACGTAAAAATGAAATTATAATTCACAATTCACATATTAATATGTGAAATTTAATTTTTTTTTACAAAATTCTCTTGTCGCTGTTGTATGTGAAATTGAAATTATGTGATATTATGGAGTGGGGTGAAATTCCGATTGGCTAATTTGAATTTCACACATGTAAATTTGAATTTCATACATGTAAATTTGAATTTCACATATGGGACTGTCTACAGCAAAACCACCTCCGAGGTAAATAACTCATTTTGTGTAAATACAAAATCAAAATTTGTTACACAGAAAAAGGAAAATTG